TAATTTTGATCACTTTTGTGTGGGTTTTACACATCTTATTTGATCAATGTGGTTTGGCAGTTTCATAGACCTTTGACCTGATAAATTTTGATGGAGAGGTTTTTAAGGTATAAATAATATTTAACAAGGTCTTCTCTTCTCTTCTAAGTAATGATCTATATACCCATTAAGAACCGCTAGGAAGAGAAAAGCGAAGAGAAGGACTTAATCTTTTCAGAAAACTAATGTTGCTTTTACTTGTTATTTATGACTGCCTAAGCAGGCACAAAATATGATTAAATTTAGTGTTTTAATATTCTTCTTGAGATTTAAGATTATGCTTACATGTAAAAGCAAAAGGAGCAGCAGACTCAATGGGACATGGTTCCTAGATCATAGGATTGGGGTTAATATCACCAAATTCAAAAGAAGATCGACATACTGGAGAAAGATCAATCAGGAAGCAAGAAAGGCTCAACTGGAAGGTAGCTTCAGTCAGAAATGGAAATGATAGGGAATCCTTATCAACAAGGCCAATCTCGACAATCACGACCAAGGCAGACGTTGAATACATCAGTAGTATGAGCCCAAGAGCCATACATAGAAGCATTACTTGATAAGAACGTCGAAACATTATTAGAAAGAGATGGTACAGATGGAGGTGATAGAGTGGAGAATATGCAGTATAAAACATGTAAAGCTGAAGTCAACGATGAAGCGATTCATAAACTAGAGAAATGTGTGATTGGGACTGCATGAGGATTGTATGAAGCATACAGGCTAAAAGAAAACTTCAGGATGCAGGGAGTGTTTGATGTCCATGTTAAAAAAATTTCTGGGAGCCAATTTCTGATTGAATTCGACGAGGAGGAAACAATGGAAGTTATGAAGCAAAGTTGTTGGTCTTGGTTAAAGGAATGGTTCGCAGAAGTGGATTTATGGTCTGAGTCTGTCGAGTTTAAGTATAGGACAACATGGATTACCTATTATGGAGTCCCTCTTCTTGCATGGTGTTATAATACATTCAAAAACATTGCAGCTATTTGGGGTCATTTTATCTCGATGGACAGTAAAACCTTAAGTTTTAATGACTTAAGCAGAGAAGCTGTGTTAATCATGACCAACCAGCTTGAAAGAACAGATGAATTGGTCAGTATTGACTGTGGTGGGAAATCATTCCTGGTATGTGTCAATGAAGTAGGATCAGATGTGGTTTCATTATTCAATTGTTCTCACAACTTGGCCAAAGATGACGTAAAAGTTGTTACTCCTTGCTTAGACGCAGACTCTGATTCTGGCATTGGTATGTTTGTAGAAGATGAGGAAGATCAAGCATTTCTAAGCACAGAATATTATGAGCATGTAGATGGTAGCGACAGTGACATTGGGAGTAGGGAGAATAATGGCTGAGTCCAAGGACGAGTGAATGGTTCTTGGAGATAGAGCAGTCGGGTGTGGGGATGGGGACGGGGAGTTTAATGCAATTAATGAATGTTTGGAAGCTAGTGAGTCTGAGAAGTCCAAGGAATATTCCCAACATCCATTGGTCGAAATGAGACAGGACACATGGAGTGGTTCTTATTCAAGAAAAATAGTTGAGGTCGATGAAAACGCACGGATGGGCCTTGGGAAGGAAAGGGGTCTGGTCCTGTAGAATGTGGGCTGAGTTTGGAATAGGTTGATGCTAAGTCTCCAAGATGTATCTCTACAAATCAAGAGACTTTGCCTAACAAAATGTTCAGAAAGGCAAAAACTTTTCGAGGAGATTGAGGAGAATATTCTCGAACAAATAGAAAAGAGTGAGACAAAAGGGAGAAAACAACTATAGAAGAGGGTTAGGAAAAGATTGTCTCAGCAGGGGAGATATGCGAATGAATCATTGTTGGACGGGGATTCCCCAACGGATTTCAAGTAATTTTGAAGGAAGCGCAAGATATGTGGAGCACTGGAAAGGCATAAGGGTTCTCTGCCAATTGTGAAGATGAAGTGGTCGTGGAAAGGCTTAAAGAACTCGAGAAATTGGATTAAGGGCGCGTTGATACTGAAGGTAAGCTGTGTTATATATTTTTGCTTCTATTTGGTGTCAGTTTTGATGCATGGTGGTGCTATAGGATGGGGATTCTTTTTTGGAATATCAGAGGATTGGGTAATGAAGTTAAAAGGAGGGTATTAAAGAAATTAATTTTAAATTTCAGAATTGATAAGCTATTGATTCAAGAAGCAAATATGAATTGATAAACTATTGATTCAAGAAACAAAAATGGTTGATGTTAAAGATTTCGAAGTGTCGGCTTTATGGGGTAGGGGAAAGTTGGATTGGGTATATGCAGCATCTAATGGTTTATCGGACGGGCACTATTGATACGGGACAGCCATATTTCAGCTGGAAGAAAGTGTGGTAACCGATCGACTAATGGTGGTAAAATATAGGTGGACTCCTTGAAATTTTAGGTGTGTGGTTTGTAATGTATAGATCCTTGCGATGCCTGGGCATAAAAGGCTCTTTGAGATGAAATCTTCGAGTTCAAAATCTGATGCGTGTATGGGGGCACAAATGTCTCGGAATTCAACAATTTCATAAGTTTTACCAAGTTGTTTGATATGCGTCTTGGCGGGAGAAGAAATTTATATGGTTCGAAAGTGATAATAAAAAAATCATATTGGATAAACTTTTGTGCTATTTTTGAATAAATATTAATGAAGGAAAGGAAAAAAAAGGAAAAAAAAGTTTTTTGAAGGAAAGAAAATGATATATGTAATCATTGTTTGGATAGTTAAAATTAATAACAAAAAAGAAAAGAAAGAAATTCTAATAATCATTATTTGGTTAAAGAGTAAAAAAAAAAAAAATTCATTATAATAATTTTTTTCAATTATAATATTTTATTGCTTGTTATTTTAGAGTATTTTTAGATCATGATATATTTTTTATCTTGTCTGACCTTACAATTGCTGTTATATCAATAGTTTTTAATAAAGTGAAACAGAAAAATACTTTACAAATATGCATTAATAAATTTTGAGTTAGTCTGACATCTCATAAATTCAAAAATATATTTATTTATAATCAACTATTTATCAAAATTAAATCACTAAAAAATTATAAAAAATTTTTATATTGAAAGATATATATAAAATTTACTTGAAAAAAGAAATGGTTTTGAAAAAATTACAAAACAATTATGATCTATTTAGTTTTTTTTTATTAAGTTTTTAGTATTAATAAAAAGATAGACATAATAATCTTTTTATACAAAAAAAATTCTTAACTTTCTTTTTCTTAACTTTTTCTCCAAATTGAGATATTAAAAAAATTAAGTTTATAAAAAAAATCAAAAGATATTTGATTTTCACTTTTTTTTTTAAATTAAATATTTATCCAAACAAAAAACAATAATTTTGTTTCTTTTACTTTTCTTTCCTTCCTCTCTCCTCTATCCAAGCACACTGATCCGTTGTGTGTACGAAGCAATTCAAAGATTAGTGTTAAAAAGGGCTCAAGCGGGCTGGGCAGTCTCTGATCATTGCCCAATTCTTCTGTCAAACGAGTCTGTAGATTGGTGTCCAAAACCATTCAAAGCTGTCAATTGTTGGTTTTTGAACGAGAATTTTATTAAGGCTATGGCGGATAAGTGGTACCAACTTTCTGAAGTCAAAGGATCGGATCAGTGTCTATGACTCAGAATGAACATGCTAAAGACCTTGGAAAAATGGAATAACGTAAATTTTTGCAATGTGGATGAGAAAATAGCAGTGCTCGAAGACAAGGTGGACAAAATTGATGAGTTAAGCTATCGAAAGAATCTTAGGGTTGAGAAGATTGAAGAGAAGAGGTGTGCCATTAATGATTTATGCGATACTCCTTGCTGTTAGAGTTAACCTGCGAATTCATTGTATGAGTTTCTCTGTTAGAGTTGTATCAGTTGATCAGAGATTCTAGCTTTATCTGATATTATCTTTTTGTTTAGGAAGTCTGGTTCTCTTTTTGGAGATCACTCAATTTTTGTTGTTAGGGCTTCTATGTTTTGGGTGTATTTTGCACGAGAGATTTTATTTCTCTCTCTTGTAATAAAATTACTTGGCTTAAAAAAAAAAAAAAAAGTGAATGAATAAACCTTATTTCCCTTCCCCTCCCCGCAATCATTACCAGTCAAATGGAATCTGCATGGCTGCAGTAACTGACTGAAATAGGAATTTTAACTCTATTTGCGATTATATATTTCTTGTTATGAATTTTTTTTCCTTTTTTTTCTACCAAACCGGTGACATCCATGCCATTTCAATGGCGCTGCTGATTGATAATTGACTGCAGAGTTTGACCAATCCATATCTTTTAGCATGAAATCAAAGAAGCATGAAAACAAAAGAACTCGGGGTAAGGATATAAATGAATGAATGAATATCAACGAATGATTTATTTATTTATTTATTTTAAAATTATTTGAGCTCGATTCATATTTAATAAAAATTTATTTTAATCATTCAAGTTTAATTTGTTTAAATGGTAAAATATTTTTGTAAATATTAAATAAAAATATTTATGAATATATATAAAATAATATATTTATAAATAATAAATAAATTATAATTAAATAAATTTAAATAAATAAATCTTGGACAAACATAAATGAAATTATAAATAAATATAAACAAATTTTAAAACAAAATTAAAGTAAAAGATAAAAATATTTTTTGTTTTTATTATTATTATCAAATAACAAACGAGTTTTAAATAAATAATTTTTAAATGATTTTTAAATGAATTTACTTGTAAATATAAATAAATCAAATAAATTTTAATTTATATTCAATTTATTTAATAAAGAAACATAAAAATATTATTTAAAATTATTTATTAAATTTAATAAAAAAATAAAACTAACAAAATTGAATATATTCACAAAACAAAATGTTAAAAGTTCTAATTGTTTATACCCGTTAGAGGTCTGCTTCCCCTTTTATTTTATTTTTTTTTCTCAATTTAGACAACACTTTCTTTAATGATTAAATCCAAAATCCTCTTTTTAACTTCTTCCTTATCCAAAGACCTCACTGCACCTTATCTTTCTTTATTTTATTCATTAAAACTGGAGAAGTTTAGAAGCGCATAGACAACTTTGATTTTTATTACTCGGATTTGTCCTTTTCCCAATTTAGACAACCTGAGTTTTCAGAAACATTGCTCAAATTTATTGATAAAAAAATGTTCAAAGCAGAAGACTATTCCAACAAAAGAAGCAAAGGAAGAAGAAACCAACCCTAATTAGACCTCCCCAATCCAAACACATCGAACGACCTTGATTCAAAACACGTAACCCTCAAATCACAAACATGACCACTAAAAATTAAAACCCGAAGTTAATTCGTGACATATTGTATGAATTCAAGATCAGATTCAATCCCCGCCATCGTTTCCGGCGCCAAAACAACTTCCAGATCAACACTCCCATTCCCTTCCCGCCCAGGAAACGCGGAGATCTTCCCATCAAATTTATTGGCCCCACCACTCCGAACCGCCAACGGCCGACCCCACCCAAAATCATTATCGTACATAGGAAACCTCGAAGAGCTCCCCATCGTCACCGACGCGCCGTCGAAGTTCCCCAATGGAAAGCACCGTGGATCCTTTTCCCAGTTCTCTACAAAACGACGCACCGTTTCGTCGTTGTGGGCCCTCACGCTCTTGTTTAACTGCTCCGCACACCAGCGCAGATCACGTGATGTGACGTCACCAGCTGACGCGTACGTTGGAATGCTTTGAATCGCGTTCCCGAAGTATAAAGGATCCAGCTTCTGATTCAGCCTGTGACGGCAATTCACCGCCATTCGAAACATCGTTGTTTTGGAAGACGGGAGCTTCCTTGCTCGTGTCACCGCTCGCCAGAGGAGAGCGGAAAGTGACTGAAACGAAGAAATCTCCGCCGTATTTGAAACCGGAGCGGTTTTAAACAACCAAATCTTCCCGTCAACGTTAAAGTACTTGTCGTTGTTTTGTTTCCCGAGAATTTCAACAGCGTTCAAGTTTCCATTAATCAGAAGCTCCTCCTTCATGTTGTTTACTTCGGCTTTGAGTTCCAAAATGGCTTCTCGGCTGAAACTGAAGATTCTCTCCCTTAACGGCTCGTTTTCGTTAAACGTAACTTTGGGCCCACCTTCTGGGACTCTTAAAATTGCCGATGAAATCAAAACCGAGTCCCGTGAAAAGTCCGGTTGCCTTACGATTTTTTCAATGCCCTGATTGTTACTAATTTTTCTACAAATTTCAGCAAAAGTGTTGAAGAAATTCCAAAACGACGTACCGTCAGTCACCGCATGGTTAACGGAACATCCAATGAAAATTCCGTCACCGAGTTCAGTGACTTGGACGGCCATGATTGGTTTACAATGGCCTTGGTAACTAACCATCTTGTCGAAGCAGAAAAACCTCTTAACGAGCTGGGGAACATCGAGAGGACCAATGACTTCACGAATAAACAAACTTGCACACGAGGCATGGTAGAATTCAACGCCGGCATCGTTGCAAGTTATGTAAATGTAATTGTTTGGGTCGGTGTAAAGACGGCCGGCGAGAGGAGGGAAAAACGAGAGCGTTTTGGAGAGGGATTGTTTGAGAAGGGAAACGAGTGAGTCGAGGGGAATGGGAGGGCGCGAGTAGAGACAACCTTTTTGGATGTAATGACAAGACAGCATTGGGAGATCTGAAACTGAGAGTTTGAGGTCTCCTAAATTTGATTTTTGGTATGGGAAAATTGTTGATTTCGAGACCAAAGTAACAGACAGAGTTGAAGAGGTCATCTTTTTTTGAAGGGGGGGGGGGGGGGTGGCGTGTGGGTGAATTTCACTCTCAGATTCTTAGAAATTTAGTGTTTAGTTGGGAGTGAGAGTGAGGGAAAAGTGAGGGCATTAGAAAGGGTATTTATAGGAGTTGGGGTGCATGCACTTAAATGCAGTATGGTGATAGTTTGCCTTATTTTAATTTTATTATATTAAATTGAATTAATGGTTCTTTGTTCTTATTACATTCCATAGTCTCAAATGTTAAATTCTTGAGTTTGCTCCTCTTATGTGACCAAAGTTTAGCTTGATAATAAATAGTTAAAAGTGTGGAAATCATTTCTTTAAGATGTTTTCATGTATTTGAAATTGAATCATCAAGATTGTAAATTTAATTACATATTCACATCCTATTACTTTATTCAATGATTTGTGCATGATATCATATTGAAATATCAAGATTCGAATTTAATCCCCTTCCTTAAATCAAGATAAAGAAAACAAACTTAATGATTTTCATTTTAGAAGTAGAGTGCTAAGGGATGATTTGACCGGGGTAATGAATAAATAGCTAAATGTACGAAGGAGCAATTCTGGTAGAATTTCTGCAAATTGAAGGAAGCTGAATGAGGAAAAAGAGCAGTAATTTTTAAATTGGAGGGGGTGGGGGTGTTCAGTATTCAAATCTGATATGGATGACCAAAAAAAAAAAAAAACTGCTACGGACTTCATGTGAAGAATTTATGTGAAATTTGTGAAAATTTTTTATTAAAATTAATTTAATAAAATTTTAATAAAAAAATCAAATCAATACATTAATAGAATTTAATGAAAAAATCAATAATATATAAAAATAATATTGTTTATAATTAAATTTAATTAATACTTATTTAACGATAAAAATTTTATTTAAATTTTTATTAAACATACATATCTAAAAAACATATAATATTTTTTAAAAATTTTCTTAATTTATAAAATTAGAACTTTCGACCTATTAATTTTTATTTTAAATTTTAAATTTTATTTAATCAATTTTAATAGAAAATTTCACTTATTTCATCCAACAAATTTCATGTAAGTTTTTTTTTCGCACATCATGCAGTACGAATCCAAAGGGTAGAGATTTTGATTTCCTTCATATCTTAGGAATGTATATATCTTGTCTTGGATTATGACAAAAAAAAAAGCCTCGAGATTTGCATGCCTCACTCACGCCAATCCATCCAATTCATAGACCAAATCTCATGATCTCATTTACCATTTGACTTTACAAGATTCGATTGAAACTGATCATATTTGCGTCTGGCATGCAAGAATTTGTACTCTTTCACTAATCGCCAACTGAATTAAAAAAGAAAAAATGGTTGGCTTAAAATAAGTCCTATGCGGTCAATAACAGTCTCAAGATTCCATGACAAATCAAAATTTTCATGCCAAAATATTAACAATCCATCCATAGCCGAGCTGACTCTTTTACATAATTCTGTACATTGGTTGTCACTCACAAACCCGAAGAAAAAGAAGTCGGCTAAGAAAGAATCTCTACTGTGTTTTTAGCTAATTTTGAACTGTCTCATCTGATTTTAATTAAATTACAGTATATATTAACTATAGCTACTTGAGATTTTTGATTCGCAGCGAAGGTCGGTTTATTAAGATACGAAGAAGCTCCAACAGCCGCCATTTCTGATTTGTCGGCGTGTGTGATTAATATTAAAACATTTAAACTAAATATGGTTTTATAAACCTTTAAATATATATCCATGCAAGTTTGTAGCTTACTTAATTGTTTGACTCAGAAATTTTAATATTAAAATCAATATTATAAGATTGGTATAGGAACTTGGTGCATGTCTAAAGAGAGGTTAATTTAAGAAACAACCCCCTTGACATTTTGCCACGTGTATGACAATTCAATATATACCGACCATGAAAAATTCTATGTTTTATTATTATTATTATTATTATTATTTTGTAATTCGTTTTAATTTATTGTTTAAGACATGACGTGAGTGTTGCAGTGAACCTTAGCATTCAACTGCAGCCAGCTGCAAGGCAAGACAATTCAAGAACAGCCATGGAGTACGTGAAGAATTTGGTTACATTCAAGAATCTGCTCGCATTAAAAATAAGGTTTATCTTGTAACAAAATATAAATGCTTCATAATTCAAATATCTATATATATATATATATATATAAATGCATACCTTATTCATTACAATGTGAAACAAAATATTTTTCTCATTTTAAAATCGGAGAGAAGAAAAATAGATCCAGCTGGTGTTGATGAATAATTTGGTGAAAATCATTGATTGATAGTAAAATAAATTGCAAGTGTTAAAATTTGGATATTAAATCTTTTAAATTTCTTTTATTTTAAGAATTGTATAACAATGACTAGATTAAATTTCAAGTTTTAAAACTCGAATTCATGATATCATGCATGTATTCGTTTTACCAAAATCAAAACATCCAAATAAAACATCACAAATTTTTTTGATCAATCCACCCCAAAATTAGGCTTTTTGATGAGTTCTTTTCATTTGACATAATATGTAAATTATTTTATTTACTAACTAATATTAAAGTAGGTTATTTCACATTTAATAAATATATAATTTCTTATAGTCTTATATTCAAGTTGAGCTCATATATTTACAATAAATTAATTTTAAGTTGACTGCTTAACATGATATAAGAGTTAAGATTTTTTTTTATTATTTTTTTAAAATCTGTCATATAATAAATTTCTTTCATTTTTGTTTACACATAATGAGGGTCTGTTAAAGTAGGTTATTCAACATCTAACAATATCTAATTTTTTATAATTTTATATTTAAATTAAACTCTTCTACTTATTACTAATTAATTTTAAATTAAATGTTTAACAATTAATATTATTCATATTCATTTAAAACTATTTACATGATATAAATATGTGTGTATATCTGACAGGTGTAAGAGAGCTCAAGGTAATTCGAACTTAGAATCTCAATCCTTTAAAACAACCATTAAGTCAAATCTAAATTGTTAATTATGTAACTATTAGTTATTATTAGCAATGATCAAATAATGCTTACACAGTTACTTCGAACTCCCCTTTTTAAAATTAAGAAAAAAACACGACTTGGAGTAACGGCGGATGTTTACACACAAGATAAGAGAACATATATATTTGGAGCCTAGAGTTATGAAGTAAAAATATAAAAAACTTAAAAAGAAAAAAAAAAGTAAGAAACTTTAGAAGTTTTAAACCTCGTTTGGTTATTTAATTTACTAATAATCACAATGGTTTTAAACATAGTTAAGAATGTAAATAATAAATTAGTACTTATAAATTATTCGGATTCAATTCGAATAAAATTCAAATTTGATTTGATTATTATCAAATCAAGCTTGAGTTTGAGTAGTTCAATTTGTCGATCGAGTCGAATTTAAGTATTTTTATACCCGATTCGAGTAACTTAAAAGCTTAATCGAGTTTTTATATTTTAATTATTCTAATTAATAAAATATCTCAAATTCAATCTTAAATATAAATAATCGAGTTTTTGTTAAATATAATAATCGAATTTATTTTTACATGTTAATCAAACTTAATTGAATAAATTAGAGTAATTCAATTTTTATCTCTGAGTCTAGCTCGAACTAAAAAAAATTAAAACTCGATTGAGTTCAAACCGAGTTTTGACTTCAAATTTTGAGTTAAATTTAAATTCAGACTTAAATTTAATATTATATCAACTCGAACTCGATTCGATTATTACCTTAAACACAGCTCCATCTCCAGACCCCGGACCCACCAAACTGAATAAAAATCATCCATCAGTCCAAAATAAAACACGTCATATTATGAAAGTACATCTACACCGTTAAACTAGCCTCCCCACACGATTTAGTTCGTTACATATTGCATGAACTAGTGATCAGATTTCTGGCGCCAAAACAACCTCTAGATCAACGCTCCCGTTCCCTTGCCTCCCAGGAAAGGCGGAGATCTTCCCGTCAAATTTATTGGCCCCACCGCTCCTAACCGCCAACTCTGGATACCACCCAAAATCATTGTCTTACATCGGAAACCTCGGAGAACTCCCTATTGTCATCGACGCGCCGTCAAAGTTCCCCAACAGAAAACACTGAGGATCCTTCTCCTAATTATGAATAAAACGACGCTTCGTTTCGTCTTCGTGAGCTTTCACATTTTCGTTCAATTGCACAGCGCGCCAGCGTATGTCACGTGACGTGCCATCACCTGCTGACGCGTATGTTGGAATGCTTTGAATCGCATTTCTGAAAGATATAGGGTCCAGCTTTGGGTACAGCCTGCGACGGTAATTCACCGCCGTTATAATCGTTGTCGTTTTAGAACACGGAAGCTTCCTCGCACGTGTCACTGCGCGCCAAGGAAGAGCTCAAATTAATTGAAACGACGAAATCTCCACCGAATTAGAAAGGGCGGTTGTTTTCAACAACCATTTTTCAAATATCCCTGTTAAATTTTTAAACTGAAGATTCTCTCACGTAACGGCTGCCCACCTTCTGGCACTCTTAAAATCGCCGATGAAATCAAAGCCGAGTCCAGCGAAAAATCTAGTTGCCTTGAGATTTTTACAAATTACAATGCTCTGATTATTGTTATTAATTTTTCTGCAAATTTCAGCGAAAGTGTTGAAGAAATTCCAAAACGACGAGCCACACTCACCGCATGGTTAACGGACAGCTAATGAAGACTCCGTCATCGAGTTTAGTAACTTGGACGGCCATGATTGGGTTCTAACACCCCTAATAACTTACCGTTTTGTCGAAGGAGAAAAGCTTCTTAACCAACTCCGGGACATGAATCCGACCAATGATGTCGCGGATGAACACGTGGCACATTTTGAATGGTTATCTCAACGCCGACGTCTTTGCAAGTTATGTAAATGTAGCCGTCTTGGTCGGTGTAAAAACGGCCAATGAGGGAAAGGAAAAACGATAGAGTTTTGCTGAGGGATTGTTTGAGAAGAGTGTTGTACCT